CAACTGTAAAGCTAATGAAATTGAATTAATTCAATTGCTAAATTGATTACTGTTTTTATGCTAACTAATCTCTATTGCTCATGAAATGCAGCATTTAGACTTATCTTCCAATAAAACAATTACTGATATTACATTTGGAATCTAAAATGCCCACATTACATTTTTCAAGAGCTCCAACTATTTTGAAAAATTGACCTCAAAGACATGATATAAGGATGTTCAGCCTTAAGCAGAATAACTCCAGCCAATGTTACAAAAATGGAAGATACTCTGGAAAATAAATCATTTAATGATGATGTGGAATTTTAGAAATGTGCTCTTTTAAAGTGCAATCATGAAAAAAGCATGCAATTAACTCCATGCTTTAACACTGATTAACTTAATGAAAACAAAAGAAATTAAAGTTGGCATTCTGTGTGATGTTTCTGGTAAATCAATTTCCCTGTCTTTTGCAATAAAACATAACTAGAGCATAATGCATTTAAAGGCTGACCTTAAATATTTTAAATTAAATCTTATTTCATCAAAATCATCAATTAGAAATCAGTAGATTGGATTATCTATCTGGTACAATTCATGTCAATGGTAAATTTTAACTTGATGAGTTTCTTCATTACCCTTGTCAAAGATACAGCACAGCAATTGCACACATGTACACACACGTATACTTTTATATAGTGTAAATTGCAAATTTATATTATAATTCATAATACAATGCCTTAATTATTTAGTGGCTATAACCATCTATGGACCATCCACTCAAATATGTGGTTTTCCTATTACAAGTTCCTATAGAGTTAGGATCATTTATTTTTAAATGATAAATTTGCTGTGTGGATGAATGCATTTAGTATATATTTTAAAACAGGAGAAATGAAACATTTCTTCAGTATTTCAAGGGAGTATGTTGATATTTAAAGCAACTGCTTCTGTAAAATTTAAAGCCAAGAGAGGCCAAAATACAATATGTTAAACATTGTAGTAGACTTAAAGGGAGAATATCATGGAAGCCAGAAAAAGTGCAGTTAACTCAGTGTGAGGAGAGTGAGAAAAGTCAATCAAGAATTGCTTCCTGGCAGAGGGGACATGTGAAGGGAGATTAAACGATGTATTAGAATTAGCCTAGTGTTGGCTGGGTTCAGTGGCTCAGTAATCCCAGCACTTTGGGAGGCCGAGGAGAGAGGATTGCCAAGTTCAGGAGTTTGAGACTAGCCTCGGTAAAACGGTGAAACCCCATCTCTACTGAAATCCAAAAATTAGCCGTGCCTGGTGGCATGTGCCGGCAGTCCCAGCTACTTGGAAGGCTGAGGAAAGAGAATCACCTAAACCTGGGAGGTGGAGGTTGCAGTGAGCAGAGATATCGCCACTGCATTCCAGCCTGAGCAACAGAGCAGACTCCAAACCGAAAAAAAATTAGCCTAGTATAATATATAAGGAACTTGCTATGAAACTGATAAAGCTGCCTGCTTCATAGAAAAGTCTAGGATTGTTGTAGGTTATGTTATGGACTGTTATAGAACATTACTGAAGGATTCTTTGGTTTGTAAGAAGCAACATAATATCCCTTAAGGATAATTACTGGGATATATATAATAGAGTCTGATGGAAAATCAAAGAACCTACTATTTGTTAATGAATGTATGTGTGTGTGTTTAAGGGGGGTGGAACATGTTCAGGATAATATGTAAGTTTAGAGATGCAATTTGAAATCTGTAGACTATTAGAGAATATAAAATTAACTAGGACAGGTCAGCAAATGGCTTGAGACCTGGAATTTAGAGATCATCAATGCTTGATAAAAATAAATGTTGTTGGCCAGGTGGGGTGGCTCACGCCTGTAATCTCAGTACTTTGGGAGACCAAGGCAGGTGGACAACCTGAGGTCAGGAGCTCAAGACCAGCCTGACCAATATGGAGAAATCCCATCTCTACCAAAAATACAAAATTAGCTGGGCATGGTGATGCATGCCTGTAATCTCAGCTACTGGGCGGGGCTGAAACAGGAGAATCAATTGAACCCTGGAGGCAGAGGTTGTGGTGAACCAAGATTGCGCCATTGTACTCCAGCCTGGACAACGAGAGCAAAACTCCATCTTAAAAGAGAAAAAGGAATATTGTTTTTATTTAGGATCATCTATAAAATGTGTCTTCAATAAATTAAATTTTTGACAATGAGAATTAACAGTACACTTAAAAATATTATTCTTAAATTCCTATATATGTTTTAGCAAAATTGACACTTAAGGTCTGAGATTGAATGAAAACATTTTATGTGAAAAGAGACAACAGTTTAATATATTATGAAATTAGTTTTATTTCAATAGCTTTTGAGGGAAGAGGTGGTGTTTGGTTACATGAATAAGTTCTTTAGTGGTCATTCTGGTGTGCTTATCACCTGAGCAGTGTACACTGTACCCAGTGTGTAGTCTTTTTTTTGTTTGTTTGTTTGTTTCAGACAGAGGCTTGCTGTGTCTCCCAGGCTGGAGAGCAGTGGCACGATCTCAGCTCACTGCAACCTCCACTTCCAGGGTTCAAGTGATTCTCCTTCCTCAGCCTTCCAAGCAGCTGAGACTACAGGCGCCTGCCACCATGACTGGCTAATTTCTGTACTTTTAGTAGAGATGGGGTTTCACTATATTGGTCAGGCTTGTCTTGAACTCCTGACCTTGTGATTCACCCGCCTCAGCCTCCCAAAGTGCTGGGATTACAGGCGTGAGCCACAGCACCTGGCCTAATGTGTACTCTTTTATCCCTCATCTACCCTCCTGCCGTTCCCCCCAAGTAACCAGAGTCTTATGCATTTGCTTCCTCATAGCTTAGCTCCCACTTACAAGTGAGAATACACAATGTTTGGTTTTCTATTCCTGAGGTACTTCACTTAGAATAATGATCTCCAACTCCATCCAGTTTGCTTTGAATGAAACCATGATTTCATTCCTTTTTATAGCTGAGTAGTATTTTGCAGTATGTATATCTATATGTGATCTATATTGGTATGCATACACACACACACACACACACATATATGTATACCACATTTTCATTATCCACTCATTGATTGATGGACAGTTGGTCTTGTTCCATATTTTTGCAATTGCAAATTGTGCCACTGTAAACAGGTGCCAGCAAGTATCTTTTTCAAATAATGACTTATTTTCCTCTGGGTAAATATCCAGTAATGGAATTGTTGGATCAAATGGTAAATCTACTTTTAGTTCCTTAAGGAATTTCCACACTGTTTTCCACAGTGGTTATACTAGTTTACATCCTCACCAGCAGTGTAAAAGTGTTCCCTTTTCACCACATCCCCACCAATGTGTGTGTGTGTGTGTGTGTGTATTTAATTGTGGCCATTCTTGCAGAAGTAAGGTGATCACTTTATGGTTTTGATTTGCATTTCCCTGATTGTTAGTGAAGTTGATCATTTTTCCATATGCTGTTGGCCATTTGTATATCTTCTTTTCAGAACTGTCGACTTATGTCTTTAGCCCCCTTTTTAAAGAAAATGCTTTCTTTCCTTGCTAATTTGTTTGAGTTCCTTGTAGATTCTGGATATCAATTCCATGTCCGATGCATATTTTGAAAATATTTCTTCCCATTCTGTGGGTTGTCTGTTTACTCTGATGATTATTTCTTTTACTCTGCTGATTACTTCAGAAGCTTTTTACTTTAATTAAGTCCCAACTGCCTATCTTTGTTTTTGTTGCATCTGCTTTTGGGTTCTTGGTCATGAAGCCTTTGCCTAAGCCAAAGTATAGATGGGTTTTTCCAGCATTGTATTCTAGAGTTTTTATGGTCTCAGGTCTTAGATTTAAGATCTGAATTCATCTTGAATTGATTATTGTATAATGTGAGAAATGAGGATCCAGTTTCATTCTTCAACATGTGACTTGCCAATTATCCCAGCATCATTTGTATAATAGGGTGTCCTTTCCCCCACATTATGTTTTCCTTTGCTTTTTGAAGAACCTTGTTTTGTCACATTACCAGAATTGTTTTTCTGGTTCTCTCTCATTTGTGTAGTCTATTCAGAGGGAAGATCTGGGGCCTAATGGCTGCTAATTGGGCCCCAGATTTTCCCTCTGCATAGACTACCCAAATGAGAGGGAACCAGATCCCTTTGTCCAAAGGGGTGTTCCTTCAACGTGATACTATTCGCCTTCCCCTGGTGATGGGGCTTCCTGAGAATCAATCTGATAATTTCATAGTGTTAATAATAAATTCAAATAAAAGTTGAGGTTATCGATGACATGTTAAAATATCTTTATTCAGTTAGATTCATCACAGTTTTAAAAATGTTTTAATTTCAAATAAAGTTATGACATAATATCTCATGTTGATCTAGAAAAACACTGCTTTAATCTCAAAATGATTAGGATTTTTACAACCCCTTTTCACATTAGATTATCATCTGAATTAAAAGATTATAACTCTTCAATGGAATATTTTCACTTTGCAAACTCATATGTGTTATTGTATTCTTATTAATTTGCACCCAAGGGACACTATTTAACAATGTACTTTATAAAATTTAATATGCTTTATTAGATGCTGCTACAAACTCTTAGTGAAGGGAGGCAACATTCACTATTTAATGTGTCTCGAATATGCTTCTCTAAAAATATAACAGAGCCATCCTAATCTGTTGAAATCACTGCTCAAACTTTGAATATTAAGTTAGCTCAATATTTGCAGTTAATATAAAAGAAAAGGGAGCTTTAGATAAAATCAGTTTAGTGCATCTGAATGGGGAGATTAACCTCAGGAAACAGTCAAGTTAAGAATTAGATACCCAAAGCAGTATTTCATCATAATGACTCCAGTAGGTAACTGTTTCAGAAAATCCCCACCCATCTAGATTTGAATAATTTAATTTTCTTGCTCTAATATTGGGAATTGTAGGTTGGATCATCCATAAAGTAAACCCTGAGGCAGAGGCCTTTGGAGATGATAATTTATTTTTTATCTTTTATTTATGTTTTTTTTTTTTTAATTTAAACCAGGGGAAAGCACGAACACAGTCCCCCACTACCACAAATTATGCAGTCGAGTTCCTCACATTTGGGGAAATTGCAGGGGTCAGCACATCCGGGGTGCAATGGATAAGCCTCACTGGGAAAACCACTTTCATCATCATGGTATCTCCCCTGGAGATAATAATTTAGTAAGGAATCTTATTTTTGTTTACAGTTTGAAAAATATGAATACTGGGTCAAGGGTAGGGTAGAGAAAATGTGAGGGTACATAATATTCTCTTTCTAGATATTTGAAGCTATATATATTTTTCTTGACTTTTAAAAAATCTTGTAGGCAAGTCACTCTTTGTAACTGCTTAAACAAGGTGTAATCCGTCAACTTAAACCCTGTATACATGCCAGTAACAGTTGCCACCAGAGAAGTATGGAACTTTATAGTATGTTATGTATCAAGTCTACCTTTTCCTTTTTTATTTTTTTTTGGTTGAGGGTCAACCAGACTTTAAAATTCAATGTCACCCCATATATAAGCACACTGCTGTTTCAGTTCAGATATATGATCCAGGGCCCTATTAAGACATATATTCTTCAGGAATATCACATAGTAGAAAAGCAGATACATCTTTTATATTTTTCATTTGGGAAATAAAATAAGAGACAAAGGAACATCTGCCTGCCTCAAAGAAGATAAATAAAAAGGGTGTTTTCTTCCTTTTTGCGCTGGTTTCTTCCCATTTTTGTGGATTTATCCACCTGTCGTCTGAGTAGTTGCTGACTTTTCAATTGGGTCTCTGAGTGTACGCCCAGATTGTTGATGATGATGTATTTCTGTTACTTGGTTTTTCTTCTACCAGTCTAGCCCCTCTGCTGTACGACTGCTGAGATTACTCCAGGCCCTGCTTGTCTGGGGTGCACCTATAGCAGCTGCAGAACAGTGAGGGATGCTACCAGTTTATTATTCTGCTATCTTTGTCCCAGAATGATGCCCGCCTAATGTCAGTCTGATCAGTCCTTTTTGAGGTGACTCTGGATATACAGGGGTCAGGGAGTTGCTTGAGGAGATGGTCTGTACTTTTTAGGAGCTCAAGTGCTAAGCTGTGAGCTCCTTTGTTCATTCAGGGCTGTTAGGCTGCTACGTTTATGTCTGCTGCAGCAGAACTCTTAAAACCCGTTTTTTTTCCTCAGATGCTCTGTCTCGGGGAGTTGAGGCTTTCTTTATGAGTGTCCATTGCACTATCCTGCCCAGCTAGGAGGCAGTCTAGTCACTATTTGCCTGCTGATGTTCCGCCCTGCTGATGTGGGGTCCGCCCTGTTGCTGCATGCTCTGCCCTGCAGCCGCGGGTTCCACTGCAGTCTCTGCCCTGCTGCCACGGGCTCCGCCCTGTGGTGGAGTCTCTCTGTTATGGCAGCTTGCCTCAGCAACGGCAGGCTGCGTCAGCAATGGGAGTGTACCTCAGTAGGGGCGGACGCCCCTCCCCCACCGAGCTGCACCGTCCTGGGTTCAGCTGTGCCTGCAGTGAAACTCTCCACCTGGAGCATTTTGAATTGCCATTTTGTTTGCCCCTGTGGGGGTGAAACCCACCGAGCCTGCTCACCTGGCTCCCTGCCTCAGAGGAACCAAAAGAGAGCCCGCATAGCCAAGTCAATTCTAAGCAAAAAGAACACAGTGGGGGGCATCACACTACCGGATTTCAAACTATACTCCAGGGCTACAGTAAACAAAACAGCATGGTACTGGTACCAAAAGAGAGATATAGACCAATGGAACAAAACAGAGGCATCGGAGGCAACACAACATATCTACAACCATACAATCTTTGATAAACCTGACAAAAACAAGCAATGGGGAAAGGATTCCCTGTTTAATAAATGATGTTGGGAAAACTGGCTAGCCATGTGCAGAAAGCAGAAACTGGACCCCTTCCTGACACCTTACACTTAAATTAACTCCAGATGGATTAAAGACTTAAACGTAAGACCTGGCACCATAAAAACCCTAGAAGAAAATTTAAGCAAAACCATTCAGGACATAGGAATAGGCAAGGACTTCATGAACAAAACACCAAAAGCATTGGCAACAAAAGCCAAAATAGACAAATGGGACCTAATGAAACTCCACAGCTTCTGCACGGCAAAAGAAACAGTCACTAGAGTGAATCGGCAACCAAAAGAATGGGAAAAAAAATTTACAGTCCACCCATCTGACAAAGAGCTGATATCCAGAATTTACAAAGAACTCAAACAGATTTACAGGAAAAAAACAAACAAGCCCATTCAAAAATGGGCAAAGGATATGAATAGACACTTTACAAAAGAAGACATACATGAGGCCAACAAACATATGAAAAAACGCTCATCATCACTGGTCATTAGAGAGATGCAAATCAAAACCACATTGAGATACCATCTTACACCAGTTAGAATGGTGATCATTAAAAAATCTGGAGACAACAGATGCTGGAGAGGATGTGGAGAAATAGGAACACTTTTACACTGTTGGTGGGAGTGTAAACTAGTTCAACCATTGTGGAAGACAGTGTGGTGATTCCTCAAGGCATTAGAAATAGATATTCCATTTGACCCAGCAATTCCATTACTGGGTATATATCCAAAGGACTATAAATCGTTCTACTATAAGGACACATGCACACGAATGTTCACTGCAGCACTGTTTACAAGAGCAAAGACCTGGAAACAACCCAAAAGCCTATCAATGATAGACTGGATTGGGAAAATATGGCACATATACACCATAGAATATTATGCAGCAATCAAAAATGATGAGTTTGTGTCATTTGTAGGGACATGGATGAATCTGGAGAACATCATTCTCAGCAAACTGACACAAGAACAGAAAATGAAATACCACATATTCTCACTCATAGGCGGGTGATGAAAAATGAGAACACATGGACACAGGGAAGGGAGTACCAAACACTGGGGTCTATTGGGGGGAAGAGGGAAGGGACAGTGGGGCGGGGAGCTGGGGAGGGATAGCCTGGGGAGAAATGCCAAATGTGGGTGAAGGGGAGGAGGGCAGCAAAACACACTGCCATGTGTGTACCTATGCAACTGTCTTGCATGTTCTGCACATGTACCCCAAAACCTAAAATGCAATTAAAAAATATATATAAAGGGACAGGGAAGCCTGGTAATTACAATATCTTGTGAATATGCAAGGCTGCCTAGAAATGTTCTCTAGTCATTTAGCATTTTCCTCAAGGCATTTCCACTTATTTTATCAGCACATAGTGGTTGCCTGATAAATATTTATTGAATAACTAGGTAACTGTTTTCTGCATAAGCTGGTTATACAAAATCAATTATCAGATTCCCCCTTACAGAATCCCCACTGTAAAACCAAAAAATAAAAGAATTAAGAAAAAGTTGTACTGAAAAATAAGTAACTTTGTCATTATTATGCCACACACTTTTTAGAATCTCTAATAAACAGTGGAGATAAAACTGAATTGAGAGATGAGAGAAAAGAGATTCTCCATTGAAATGATGGCTGGGAAGAGAATCGTTTCTCTTCTTTCTGTTTTGTGGTGTCTCACGTTAATAGGTTTCCTGTTACCCCATCTTTGCATCCCTCTGATAATCCCCACTCAGTCATGGAGAGTGATCCTTTCAGTGCACAGTTGAATCATTTTGTTGAGGATTTTTGTATCTGTGTTTATCAGGGATTTTTTTTTCTATCTATTTCCTATAATGTCCTTGTCTATCTTTGTTATCAGGATAATGCTGTCCTCATAAAAAATCTGGACATATTGTGTAGGCAATTTTGGCTTTAACAAGTGGAATGGTGAGGAAAAAGTATTAGGGTTAAGGTCACAGGAAGGCCAGATTGAAAAATTTTCTATTCTTCAAGGTCTATATTTAACAATCCCTTTTTGTGAAGTGCCTATTTGGGTCTTTGGCCCAGGTACAGGGTTAGCCTTCATTTTATTATTGACTTTAGATGTCCATTATAGATTCTTGATACACACTCTGTGTTGACATTTGAAGTAATCCAGTTCTATTCTTCTGTATATTCTGAAAATCCAAGTTCTTATTTATAATATAGTCTAATTATTTTTCTCTGCATTTGGTGTTTATATTTCATTACAAAATATTTTCCTACCAAAGTCACATATATCCTTCCATACTATTTCTAAAAGCTTATTTATCTTGCCTTTCACTATAGTTGGAGTAATTTATGTGTGTATTTATGTGTATGAATTAGATAAGGTAAATTTAATTTCCTTCTTTTTTTCTCCCTATACCTAGCTAGCTGTCAAAATACGACTTATTTATACAAAATTTACGACTTATTTCCCTGTTTTGAAATGCCATTCTTTTGATTTACTTATATATGGGTGTATTATAAATATATCTATTTCTGGACTCTTGATTTAATTATTGTGGTGTATTTGTTTCACTTCAAATCAGTATCACATTGTTTTAATTTTTGTAGTGTTAAAATCAGTCTTGATATCTGGTAAAGCAAGTCTTCTCTTGTTTTCTATTTCCTAGAGTTGTATAGACTCTATTTTCCTTTGCATTTTCACAAAACACATCATTATATCTGGACACTACTAATATATGTATGGATTTTGTACATAAGTATGCATTTTTATATTTTTTAATTGTTGAACTCTATAAAGTAAATTTATAAAATGAAGAGAAAACAAATTAGACCGAAATCCACTATACTCCTATTTCTTGCTTAGAATTAAGATAGTTCTAAGCAAGAAAAATAGTTAAATAATCCCGGAAGATTCAGTACACACTTAGAACACACTGATTATGAAATAAATATAGAAAACTTAATAGTAAGAACAAATTAATAAGTATAATAACAAAATAAGTATAATGTTATTTTTAAAAGCATAATATTTACACATTTTTCTCCAATAAAAAAAGAGAAATCTGAAACATAACGTAAAAGTATACACTACAGCTGGGTGTGGTGGCTCATGCCTGTAATACTAGCACTTTCAGAGGCCAAGGTGCGAGGTTCGCTGAAGTTCAGGGGTTCAAGACCAGCTTTGGAAACATGGTGAAACTCCATCTCTACCAAAAATGCAAAAGATTAGCTGGGCATGGTGACATGTGCCTGTGGTCTCAGCTGCTCAGGAAGATCAAGGGTAGCTTTAGTCTCAGAGGCAGAGGTTACAGTGAGCCCAGATTGTGCCACTGCACT